TTTGAAAGACACTGCAAATTATGGAATTCACTACACCGGGCACCCAAAGGTGCTTGAAGGGTATAGTGACTCAAACTGGATCTCAGATGCTGATGAGATAAATGCCACGAGCAGATATGTATTCACTCATGGAGGTGGCACTGTTTCTTGGAAGTCTTGCAAGCAGACCATCTTAACGAGGTCAACAATGGAAGCAAAACTCACAACACTAGATATAGCTACGGTCGAAGCAGATTGGTTTCGTCGGCTCTTGAATGACTTGCCAGTAGTTGAGAAACCTGTACCGGGCATCCTTATGAACTGTGACAATCAAACTGTGATCACAAAAGTGAGCAGCTCAAAGGATAACATGAAGTCATCGAGACACGTTCAGAGAAGGTTAAAGTCTGTCAGAAAAATGAAAAACTCCGGAGTTATTGCATTGGATTATATCCAAACATCTAAAAATCTGGCATATCCTTTTACTAAGGGTCTATCACGTAATGTGATAGATAATGCATCGAGGGAGATGGGTATGAGACCCACAATATGAGTTGTTCACAGTGGTAACCTATTCTTTGTGATCGGAGATCCCGTGAATTAGATGTGGAAGACAAGCTGTTGGTCAACTGGGAGGAGAGTATCCTTATTGTTAAAAATACCACTCCATGAAGATGTAATACTCTCCTAATCTGCATGGCAGGTTGATGTATATCTTAATGTGTTCTAAGTGGCTCTTTGAAGCAGAGATGTTGTCCTGCAGAACATCTTTTGAAGAACGCACCTATATGAGTCTGATTGTTAAACGTCGCAATCTATGAGAGTAGGGTTCTATCTAGTAAACTCATGAAAGGTCTCGGAGTATGACGCATAAGCTCCACCCGCGGGGAAGACCCACGGTAGCCACGTATCGGTCAAGGCTTTATGTGAAGCTAGATTCGCAGAAAACTTGCAGTTCAAGGCCCAGTCCACCGTTCAAGTTGCTTACTAGTGTAGCATAGAGTTCTAGGTGGAAGTTCAACTTAACAGTCTCCACTGCAGTACCGGTATATAAAACAGTGTTTTGGAACCAAAGGCAAATTTTGTGTGCCTCTGGGATCTGGTGTGGGATTGCTGGAATTAGTCTATTTTGGGACAGCCCAATAACTATTTCAGAAATTCTAAATAAATCCTAGAGGCCCACTTAGCCCATTTGTGCAAGGCAAGGGATACTACTAATGTTTAGTCCCACATTGCTAGTTGAGTGGGAGTTGGACCTCCTTATAAGGGAGGTTCTTTCCCCACTTGTATGAGCATGAGAACAAGAGGGACATCCACGCGCGCTCCTCCTTCGCCGCCCGCCTCGCCACGCCACGCCACGCCACGCCACGCCACGCCTCAACACGACGCGCCGCGGGTTGCGGGAATGAGCCAATGTCTAAATTTTTGCCACGCACTACGGGTATACGAAAGGTCACTCGAAAGCTGAAACATTTTTTCTGTAGTGGACACTGAATCCGAACGGCGCGCCTCTTCGACTGCTGCATGTTCGTTTTGTCTCCCGTGTTCCCTTCAGCTTCCTGCGCAGCCTCTCGCCTCCTTCTCTTGCGTCTATAAAAGGGAGGTCGTTCCTCTCAGAGAGATGCACCAGAACTACTTCCTCCTCTCGCCACCGGTTCCTGAGCACTGCGCTGCTGCTATGATCTTCCCCATCCCGGCTTGCGGCATGCACCGCAGGTCGGGACAGTAGGCTCCGAAACCGCACCTCTTTGAGTCCTGTACGGGAGAAGGGTGATAAGGTTTTTGGGGAGCGCTCTGCGCGACTACTGACTTCTTCGTCACGGACGCCCCGGACTTCGACGACTACTTCCCCGACGACGACTACTTCCCCGACGTCGACAACCTCCTCGACGACATGGAGGACACCGACCCCAAGTCCAGTGCCTCTGCTCCTGCTGCTGTCACGTACGTGTCTCTCCCATTTCTATTAGAGGTTCTGCTACAGTTCCCGGTTCTAGTATTTGCCCTACATATGTTAGACTCTATTTCATATATGCAACCTGCTATACTGTCTGCTCTAGATATGTTTAGTTACGGTTCATATATGAACATGTTGTTTACCTTCTCTTTGTCAAATCACATGGCTTATTTTATCACTGCTATACTAGCCATGCTTTATCTACTATTTCTGTTAATAAAATCATTCGGTAAACTCCTCATATTTCCAACAAAAACACCATAAATACTATTTTGATCGAAAAGGTGATACCATATATTTCTTCGGAGTAGTTTGGTTTATTTTCTCCTAACCGGAAGACGGTAGTTAATGGTACCATAAGAGAAGGATTCACAACAGATTAATTTGGATACAATATTAATGGCCAAAGATCATACAAAGTTCTGGCGTAATGCACCCGTTGTAGGTGGTGTTGTGCTCATTTTTCCATCGAGCTACAACTCATCATGCTCAACTCCATTCATATGGGGCACGTTTGGTTGCCCGAATAAGGCCCGGGTGAGAAGAGTTTGGGCTATTTGGTTGGCATGGATACACTATTTAGCGTACATCGCACGAACTTTAAAGCACCCTCGAGCCAGGCCCGCGAGCTATGCTCGAATTGGCAGTTTCTCGTGAGTCAGGCCCGAGCGAGGCACGTGGGCGACGGGGGCTGCACACGAGGAGCCACTCTCGAGAAGCTACGTTGCTTCCCGAAGCGCCGGCAGTTATTACCCTCACCTTCCATCACCGCTTGCTCTCCCCTCTCCCCTCTCTCCACTCTCATCGACGGCGGCAGCGGCGTGCAGCAGATCGAAGAACAACAAGTCGACCTCCGACCACCTTCACCGGCATCCGCAACGATACTTTGGCAATAGTAGTAAGCTATCCCTCCCCCTCCTCGCCTACTACATCACATTCGATTCGAGTTTCGATTTGATCCGCGTTAGGGGAATGGGGAATCGGGGTAAACACCATAGGAGCGACCATAACATCGTCATGACTACCAGGACACATGTGAGGTTCCAAATCCGGATTGAGTACAAAAGTAATGGGGGATTAGGGTTCATCTTACATAGTACGCGCAGATCTTAGCCTCAGGCACCATGAAGGCGGTGGGTGGCCTTGGTCTTGGTCTTTTCCTGCACCATCGTCTCTTCTTCCTCGTCGGAGTCCACCTCGATTGGCATGCTTTGGTTTCCTGTCGCCCTCACAATCATCGCCACCGCATGCTCTTCTTCCCCTTTCGTAGGCACAATATTTGTGGTGAAGTACACGTCGGCACGATGGTCATGAGGACGCCAGTACTGTCTGTACACGGCCCACTTTGCTCTCTGTCTAGCATCGCCGGATTCAACCTGATTCATGGCCCAACAAAGTATTTCGACTGACATAGCGTCCTTTGTTGTGTCAGGAATCAGTGTCTTTAACTCCTCCGGCGTTGCCTTCTTCACCACAACGTCTGACTCTTTGTGTAGCTCCTCCATGTTGCTGAAGTTTGAGCACACTTCCATGGTGTCCTCAAACTTGGTGCGGTCACCCAGCGAGCACCCTAGGAAAAAAGCCCTCCATCCAATGCCCCAGGGGAAAGGGTTGGCGTTGGGGTTGGGGTTCATGGCGTTAGGTTGGAGGAACAGTGAGAGACTGGGTAAGTGGTGACCGACAAGGTGGGCTAATAAAGGGGCACACCAGCGTGGGTTTTAATGGCAACGTTGCAATGTTCATAATGCAGATGCTGACCCAGCCTTTGAACCTCTTCATAATGCAGATCAACACGGATAACAATGGAAATGAGGTGGTGCCATCGAAGGAGCAGGGCAAGGGCAAGGACGAGGTGACGCCCGTCCAAAGCCCGGGCACGGACGACGACATGCCGGAGGTGCCCCCCACTGGCAAGCGCCGGAACTACGGCCACTACAATGAGGTGGGAGGGTCAACCACCTTCTGCAAGGTGATCCTGCCCCCCCCCCCCCAGCTCGATGCCATACCTATGCCATTGGACTTCACGAGGCACTTCTCGTCCGTGCCGCAGGAGTTCAAACTGAAGACGAACACCGGCTGCTTCTGGAGGGTCACTGTCCGACTGTTGAATGGCAGGGTCACCCTCGATCAGGGTTGGGCCACCTTCGCCACCATCCATCAGATCAAGATAGGCTTCATGGTGACCTTCAAGCTGCTAACTCCTGACATGCTGAAGGTCATCGTCTTCAATGATGAAGGCATTAAAGTGATGACAAGGTGCGGGAGGCACGACGACGCCTTCGCCGTGAATGCGTAGGACAACCCCTCGTATGTTCCACTTGCTTTAGTTTAATATCGAACTGATTTGCGTTTGAACTTGTCTGTTTATGTGTGGCACAATATTTATAACTGCTAGTACTACTATGTTTTGTTGTGTGTGTTCTTCCTGATGCCGATGTGTGCTGGTAACCTCACCACCGCACCGAAGAGGTTATCAGACAACAGGCGTTGCATGCAATCAAACAGCTGGCTTATGTGTGAGTTCAGACAATGCGAAAAACCAAGCACCATGCGCTAAGCTAGCCTCTAATGCATGAAAGCTAAATGCGGTCAACCAAATATATTGCAGATGTTAATTTAGAGGCTGCATTTGCGTAACCAGCCTCATGTGAACCAGACTTGAGCTAGCCAGGCCCGCTCACTACGGCTGCCAAACACGCCCATGGAGTCCGTCGAGGTACGCAAGAAGATCGTACTACTCGAGCACGGCTCACGAAACTCAATCTTTTGTTGCAGCCCTACCTGTCGATACACCCACCCACACGCCGGTGGTGGTTTATCATTACTGCCGCGTTGCCTTGTCGATTACGGCGACCACGTCCCACGCGCCCGCTGGGCACGGCGCCAGTGGCGTAACGCGGAAGCGGGCGGGCCGGGGACAAACAAAAAGAAAAGAAAAGAGAGAGACCACCGGCGCCACGTGACCCCCGTCGTGACGGACTTCCTTCCGGCGCGCTGGGGCGGTCGCTCCTCCCATAGCCAAAACGAAAGGGCCATCCGGAGCGGGCGGGCTCGTTCGTTCGCGATGGCGGCGGCGGCGGCGGACGCGACCACGGCCATGACCATCGACTTCCTCCGCGCGCGCCTCCTCTCCGAGCGCTCCGTCTCCCGCGCCGCCAAGGACCGCGCCGACCAGCTCGCCAACCGGGTATGTGCGCCCCTGCGCTCCCGTCCCGCGCATTCTGCCTGCGGCATTGCCGACTGACTGCCTGTCGCCGCTGCAGGTCGCGGAGCTGGAGGGGCAGCTCCGGGCAGTGACGGCCCAGCGCCGGGAGGCGGAGCGGGCCGCCGCCGAGGTGCTGGCCATCCTCGACTCGCAGGGCTTCTCCGACGCCGCGGATTCCGGCTCCGACGACGACGGCGCCGGCGGCACCCCCGAGGCCCCCGGCCACGGGAGCGTCGAACCCCGCGGGGAGGCGGAGGACGCGCTGTCGGGCTCGGAGCTCGGAGGCCCGGCCGGGGCGCCTCGGCCCGGGGGCCTCTCCTGGAAGGGCCGCGCCGCCAGCCCTGGCGCGGACAGGCGGCATCCGCATCTCAAAGCCAGGCAGCTCAGGCAGCGGCACGGCCATGGCCACAGGAGGATCTACTTTTACTTGCTCGCCGCGGATTCCTCGCCCAAGTACCAGCCGGGCCAGTCCTGCCGGAAGATCCGGAGAAAGGAGCCGAGGTCCAGGCACACAACCACATTTGCTGAAACTGTTCTGTGCTGATTCTTGGTCTGTAGTTGTGCATTGGCTTATCTAACATGCTGTAGTCATACTATTGTTGTAACAGGTTGCAGGCTGAAGGTGGGGATGGCAAGGGCAATGCTGCCGAGGGTCTGGAGGAGGGCCAGGCAAAATCTGATTGCACCGATGAGCAACATGATTTGGATGGTGAGGTGGGCCAAGACGGGCGAGGTTCTTGTGGTGGCAGTGAGTATGAGAAGGGTGGGGAGATGGAGAGAGTCCTTGAGAATCAGGCTGCGCTGATTGGGCAGTATGAGGCACAAGAAAATGCTCAGAGGGAGTGGGAGAAGAAATTCAATGGGAGCCGAGATTCAACTTCGGTACGTGCACACTTACTTTCATTCGAGTATCAACAACGAATTATTAGATACAATACTTATGGTGCTAGTACTTCTTCCCGTAAGATAAGTATGCACATTGAACCATGTTGAAAGATTAACCTTGCATTTTGATGCCGTTTCATAGGGATATATGATCCGTGTTAAGAACTTGAGATGGGTTTGGTAGTTACAAGAGTTGGCGATCTAAGCAGTTAATGGACCTGATAGTCATCAATTTGCTTGTTGAAATAGTAGACTGCAAGTTACCGTGTTCCTCTTTAGTCAAACTTGCATATGGTGTTTTGGAATGATTTTTATTCTGCTAACATGAAGTACTTGTTGTCAATGTAAACCAAACAATTTTCTTTTACTTTATTTGTGTAGTGAACTTTGCAGTTGCTGGATATAGAACTTAAAAATACTAGGATTTTTGTTATTTGACTTGTACTTCTGCATTTCAACTCCCAGGATGATGTTGACCGAGATAATAAGTTAAATCAGAATGGAAAAACATGGGGACAGAGGGGCAGAGCTGCGCAGATTGTGAATAGAGAACTAGTTGGTGAAGAGGCACGATCAAGGGATAAAAGAGATCTCTCTGGAATTAACAGTCCATCGGAGTGTTTGTCGAACGAATCTGCCTTTGGCTTGTCCACAAATGCTCGAAATGTAAGTGCTATTGGGAAGTCTGAAGGATCTGATAATGATTTTGAGCGGGCTACTGCAGTAGTTGCTTCAGTTGTTGATGAATTGCATGCTAGGAAGGATGAACTAGTACATAAAAGTTATACTAAAATTATTGAAGGGAGTGGGAATAATCTTGGAAGATCAGCTTCTTCACCACAAAAAGGCTATCATAGCAGCCCAAATGCAGTACATAATAAAGGTCAAGGAGATGGGAATTCAGACAGTGGTTCAAGCTACCATGGGAATGCTCGCTCTTATGAGCACTATGTAACCACACCATCACTTGGAAGTCCTTTAAGTGATACCCCTAAAAGCAAAGTGTCTGAATGGAGCTCGTCATGCTTTCATAACCATACCGATAACCAGATTGACATGCAGCCACCCTCAAGTGATGATGTGGGAGGTGTTCTAGAGGCACTTCAACGTGCCAAGATGTCCCTCAGGGAAAAACTGGGCAGGGCAAGTCCACCCAGGCAAGACATGTTGGCACTTCCAGCACCAGAGGATCACTACACAGATGATGATTTGCAAGTCGACGACACAGAACTTCCACTTTGCATGTCACAACGGCTTAGCCAGGAAATATTGACACTGCCAGCATCAGAAGACTACCTTAGCAGGATCAGTTTACCAGGTGATGATGCAAAGGTACCAGTTGGCCCTGCTGGCTTGTTCCGGTTGCCAACAGACCCGTTTCCCCAAAACGAGGTGTGTTCCACTGATGGCTATGGCTCAAGGTTCAGTTTGACGTCAAGTCGGCAGACCGTCTTTTCAAGAAACCCTGCTAGTCATATCATGTTAACTTCATCCCGCCCCCAGTATGGTTCTGGTTTCTCACCGAATCCGTATTACGATCTTCATAATTCAATGTAGTCAATGGCTACAACAGGGGATGCTTCTTTCATCCCAGAAATTCTAAGGTCTAGCGATGATTCAAAAAGGGGAATGTCTTCTGGTGATGCAGGCATGCTTTCCCAGTATGGTAGTGCTTATGATTAGTAGCTGGAGTGTACTAGTAGCTATGCATGGTTAGAATCCCAATATAGCCTTTGAGCTAGATGCTATCTGTTGCGTCGGTTCTTCGTATGGTTTGATAATGATGTGTGTCATGTTGTATTACTATCCAAGAATAAATCTTGTTTGTAAGCAGTGTAGGCTTTCTCTCTTATGCCCTCATGAGGCATTACAAATTGCTACTGATAATGATGTGTGTCATGTTTTATTACTAATCTGATCGCTCTCATGTCTCCGTTGTCCATAGCCCTTGCTGCTTCGCAACATAAATCCATCATGTTAAGCATTGCTTTTCCCTCACATACTTGGTTTTTTGTTTTGTTTATCCTATAGATTACAAGACAAATTTGATCATATATTTTGCAGGTGTACATGTTTTAGCATGATACACATCTCGGTTCTCTTAGAATTATTCACAACTAGTTGACCCGTTGCGCCAAATGGCGCAGAGACCTGCTAAAGCCATGTTGTCGATGAAAATAGTTTCATTTTGCAAGGATCATGTGTTAAACCATGCTATATTGAAAATATGTTTATCATGTTGTGGAATCTGAGTTTGGAAAAAGAAAATATTTGTATAACATGTACAGACCAGCTAAGCAAGCATTGTTTTAGTTTTAAAATATGGTCATCATGATGAGAAACCTAAGCTAAAAAAGACATTTGTATAAGATGTATAGACCAGCTATGGGTGTATTTTTAGCAGTGTTTGCACCAAACTCTTATTTTCCATGTGCATGAAGAAAAAAGAACCTCTTTGTGTTGTGTGTATGGAGGCATAGATATTCGAATGACCCATATGTTACATGGCCTAACCCACGAACAACAATGTGTGTGGCCCGTCAGGAGTAGAATATTGAAGTGGCAGGGACTGCATCCACCGAACCTGTTTATCCCATTTTCTTCCTCGGTTCCTCAATTGGGCGAGAGAAGCATTTCAAGTGAGATTTCTTCTTTCCTTAGATTTCGGATTTCTCTGCATGCATGGATTTAGTTCTCATTTATCTGGATCTTGCATTTCCCCTCTTTCTATGCCGATTTTTACTCCTCCTGTGTCTTTTTTTAAGCATGGTAGATCTCGTGCTATAATTCTTTCTATTTAGGTATGTATACGGATGCAAACAAATCGTTATTCCAATGGTTATTGGTGTATAGGTTGATTAGGTTGCGATTCGATCTTGCTTTTTCAACCGCATTTCCATGGGTATATGATGTGCCAGATTTTTACGCTGGCATATTAATGACCTTTATTAGGCTGTTTTGATTGAAAATCCATGATTCCATAGGTTTCTCTCGCCCAGCAGCTGTTTTGATGGAAGTGCTGATAGTAGCTCTAACGAACGTTCGGACAGCAGCTCAGACGAAAGTGCCGATAGCTTCTCCGATGTCCGGCAAATTCCAGTGCCTGATGAAATGTATACAACATAATATTTCACATGTATATGTAAGACTGATCAAATTTCACCAAAGAAGCATTGGGTCATCCAGAAAATGCGAGCTATCATCTTATTTTGCAAAACCGTACCAAGTTCCAACTCTTACAAATATAGAGGTAACCCAACTTTCACATGCTTAGACTCTTGACAGACATGCAACTACATGGCAATTCCTGATGCACTGTCAGACCTGTGATATAGGGATAGCCACCCTATCCTCAATTGTTTCCACATTCTACACACAGGTTAAAGGTCGGGAGAAACTGTCCAATGATGGCGCTACAAAGGGCATTGTAATCGACATTGTATTGTGTACGGTGTCGTCGGTGAGTATGATCTCCGGTAAAATATTATATTCATTGCTCATTTAGTTAAGAACTAATATTGCAACAATTTGTGCTTAACATTTTATAGCAGCCAAAAGAAGTAGCAATATACATTTATAATTGGAACAACCCCTCTGGTTTGCAAAATCAGAAAAGGTCACTTTAAATCAATAACTAAAAACAGTATGGGAAACCAAGTATGCAACTGATGATTTATTTCACATAAGAAATAAAAAATAACAAGAATTCGAGACACATAATTATACCTGAACTTAACAATGAGCTTTACTCAATAGAAGTGTGTACAGCCGGTCGTATTATCTTCCAATCAGAACCAAATAAGGTTGGTTGCACAAACAAATAAAGAAATAGCTTGACCAAAGTTCTCCTTTAGCAGGTCCTATTATCTAATTTCCTAAAAATGTAGAATATATTTCTACACTCGTAACATCAAAATGCAAGTTTCGTTCAACAAAATCTTCTGATAGCTTCTTCATCTACCCTTCTTTATGAAATCCGCAAACATGGTGTCTAGCTAAAAACATAGATTATGAAATCAAAATCAGAGACACGGGAGTAAAGAGGTAAAGAGAAAGGAGCACTTAACAGAGATTTATTGTGGGCTGACTATTGCTGCTGTCGTAGGATTGTTTGGCCCCACACCATTGCAGCTATATCATCTCACGCTGTTTGTTGACACTGCATATACTTCAATACTTTAGCTCGTCAAAACCAAATAAGCATGGTTGCAATAATGACATATTTTACCAAAGATCTCCTTTAGCCGGTCGTATTATCTTCCAATCAGAGCCAAATAAGGTTGGTTGCACAAACAAATAAAGAAATAGCTTAACCAAAGTTCTCCTTTAGCAGGTCCTATTATCTAATTTCCTAAAAATGCAGAATATATTTCTACACTCGTAACATCAGAATGCAAGTTTCGTTCAATAAAATCTTCTGATAACTTCTTCATCTGCCCTTCTTTATGAAATCCGCAAACACGGTGTCTAGCTAAAAACATAGACTATGACATCAAAATCAAAGACACGGGAGTAAAGAGGTAAAGAGAAAGGAGCACTTAACAGAGATTTATCGTGGGATAACTATTGCTGCTGCCGTAGGATTGTTTGGTCCCACCATTGCAGCCATCGCATCTCACAATGTTTGTTGACACTGCATATAGTTCAATGGATAGGCACTGTAAAACGAGGTCTAGCTGAAAACTGCATATAGTTCAATGGATAGGAACTGTAAAAAGAAGCTAACTAATCCGGATGTCCTTTGTCCTCTGAAAACAAAAATGGGGAAAGTTTCAAGACATGAAACATCAGTTTTGGAAAAGCAATTGGCTGGCATCCTTTCAGGTTCGACCTGTAGAAATGATATTAGACAGAGGTCTCGTACTTGATGAGTTCACAACTGGTTGAATTTTGTAGATTTGTTCTTCACAATGATAAAAAATAAAGGGAAAAATCTGTAGACTGTTGTCACAAATCCAGGATAGTATTATCAAGGTTCAGAAAAAGCAAATCATGACAACATAACTGAAGATATATATACTAAAAACCTATAAAGTTTCTAGCTAAGTCGTCCAATGCCTAATCTACATGGACTGGAAACGGAATCACGCTCGATGCTCAGTCCTCAATAACGACTCATATATGTAGGTAAGACCAGACTATCTCGGTCCTTCTTCTCTACCAGATCAAATCTCACAATATATGCCGAGTACAACCTGCTATAAATATAGCACAAGGGGCGCATACCCTGAATATATGAGCTATTCGTGATTGCCTAGTGCCTTGAAAGAAACCCTGTGGCCTTTATGCCCAAAATTGGGAATATCCCTCCACATGCAGCCCAGAACGGCGAGGTAGAGCACAATGTATATTTTCAAACAATCACTTGTATTTTTATCATGCAAACTGGCAGAAGGCCCTCCTGTGGGTAAGCATACAAAGGGGTGCCACTGCAAGAGATCTGAGTGCCTGAAGAAATACTGTGAGTGCTTTAATCTAGTATTCTATGTTCAGAGAACTGCCGTATCACCCAGCGGCACCTTGTGTATGCACATCATATGCAGAATCCTGCTATAATGGGTATTAGTCGGTCATCTGTGGCTCTTTCTCATGCAGCAGAGAAGCTCTCCAATCTCTCAGTGGATTCATTAGGCAGAGATCAGCTCATCAGTCAAAATGATTGTTCACAAGTAATTCTTTTTTCCAAGATCCTTTCTGTAATTTTTATTTTTTTCAAAAAGGCTTTCATAATTTTCATGACTTCTGCCTACGTTATGTGGACTTAGAAAATAATTTCAGGTATAAAATATAGCAGCTAAGAACATGTGGCGTCTTACGGATAGCCGACTTAATATTTATGATTAGTAGCTCAAATGCTAGAACATATCATTCAGTTAAAATAAAAGGTCAACAAAAGTTGAAAATCTGGTTATTAACATATACTTCTGTTTTTTCCCGTCTCAGGTGACTTCGTCTTTGCTCACTCCTGTTCCTATAGAAAGCACTCAAAGTACTGTCAAATTAGGGCCGCAAAGAGTTACATTTTGAATCTAATGTTTTGCACTGGGTATTAGAGATAAATTATATGAGTATACGTTATCTAGAGCAGAAATTCAGTATAGATACTCCTCTGCTGAGTGGACGCAAGGACAGCCAAAGACAAAATTAAACGGTGTTGAGAAGTTGAACAGCTGGGCCACCAGTCTGCCACAGTTCTTGGGCTCGACAGCTTAGTCAAAGGTGACGACAATCCATTCCACTTCAGACAACTCTGTCATGTCACAATTGCCATCGCATGTCAATAGGAGCAGAGCAATCCTAGTATATTAATTTTCATAAACTCATGCTTCTAAGTAGATCAATCCAAATCATGTGTAGCAAAACAAGTATAAAGTAAGATAAAAAAGATTCAAAGTAGACCAATGCATACTGACTGGCAAAAATACTCACAGTTAGTGCCATGCATAGTACATAATGCACCCAGATAATAAAGAAGAGACCAAATCTCTTTATGAATTTTTTATACTGACGAAGGCGGAGTTGAATGCTGAATTAAAAACCCTTTGTAAACTAAAGAG